CTAAGTATAGCGTAACTGGTCTAGTTTATATATTAATAACTACGTTAGTTAGATAACTACTTTATATTCATCGTAATAAATTATGTTTGTGTCAATTACTTTATTTTTATCTAATTATACTATATATCACAAATTTATAATATATAAATACGTATTTCACTGTATAATTACACATTTACACTAGTTTTCCTTGTTAAGTATGTATATAGTTTATAGTGTGGAACTGTGAAATGTAAAGTTGAATAATGTGTAAAACTTTTGACTTTAAAATACTATAAATAAAACGAAGTCTATTTCAAATTTTTCAACTTATCAAATAGATGTACACTTTTTTAATCAAATTTCTGATTTGCATATTATTTTTTATTACAATGAACTATATAGATAAAAAAAACTTCATTAATATAACGTGTAAAATAAACAAAATACAATGTGGCGTATTGTGTTCATGTAAATGTTAATCAGGATCAGTTGTCACAAAAAATGATTACCAATTTAATTAGTATTTGAAATAGCAAATATTAAATAGTTGATCTGAGAATTTTTCTTCATTGAATTTTAACAAAGTACTGTAATTGAATTTATTGAAAATATAGGACGACTAGAGAACTATCTTGATGAAAAAATTACATATACTAGGTATTAGGTTAGGTAAGACTTATTTTGTCTAGTGAAACTTAATTATTTGTAATCGTTAGCACCACCTCGTTTACATTACCCGGACTTGCAATATATTATTGCTTCACGTTTTAACAAGTACATACTATATAATAATCGTCAATCTCTTTATAGTCAGTATAAGAGATATTAAATGTTACGGTGACCAATGATTATTGCGACAATTTACAGACATAAATTTAAAAAAAAATACTCACAACAATATAATATTATTTAGTTAGATATAAAGACTTTATCAATGAATATGCTACTATTATTTACAAAATTGGTTGATATTACATAATTATACATACAAAGATTCTCATAATATCTATCTATATTTATTCCTCAATACCTATGATGTCCAATAAACACAACTTCTGATCACTGTGTAAATTATCATACTTCATACAGCATTGTTTATATTTTTAACTAGCAATATTTTACTATGTASATTTATACATTGTTCTGTTTTCCACCACAAATATGAAATCGATGTGTGAAAGGGAAGCAAGTTCCTAAATAGTGAACATTAATCTCTGATAAGTAAAACCCAAATATTTTCATTAAGGATAAATATATTGCGAGGTACAATTGTTAATATAGGTAATATACTAAAAATGCTTTGATAAAATCCTATTAACATTCCTTTTATAATACTATGATAAGTAGTAGTATAATTCAAAATTGCAGTAGAATAACATTGATGAAATATCTTAATCATGAAGAATGGRAATCYGTTTCTTSGCTTTCATCCGTCACTAATTTCAGATTTGTTCAATAAAAAGCAAAGTGAGCTGGAACTATTAATTAGATATGTGACCTATGACTATATTACCTATAAAACCTACAATGRTCAAAACGTGGTGTTTGATAATTTTCCGTTGTATTAAAACCTAAATATGTATCTGCAATAAATCTATTTAAAAAAAAAWTGGTTAGATTATTATGTTCAAATTTAAATGTATCATGGTATACTTATACCTGGAATCCATTATTTAACTTTAAAAATATGAATAATATCAATGTACGATATAAATATCTAAAATAAATGTTTCAATGTCACGTTGTGGCATATGAAAGTATTAGGTGGGTATAATTTAGTTTTGTATAGTTATAACAATGTGTTAAATTACAATATGACTTTATTATATGTAACTTATTTTACATAGTAGCAAGTATCATGATAAAAGTAAGCGATTATATATCTTTTTATAATAATTTATATGGCTTTTTATTCAATTAATCTGATGCTACCTACTTTAAAARTACAAAAATTAAAAATCATTTTAACGCATACAAAATTGTATATATTGATATTATAATTAGGTTTTTTAAATACTTTATATTGTGTGGGTAATTGACCTACAATTATCGATAAGAAGTATAGGATAAGARACTTTATAGGTATCTAAGTACATATATACGATAGATATGTTTTATTTTTATCTAATTATTTCTGTAATAAAGTGTAAATGTAAATGAGACTAACCAGGATTAAAAGTATTCAAGGCCTGTAGGCCAATAAATTGATCATTTGGTTGTTTAGCTTATTAAACAGTCAAATTTTAATTTAAGCCAATCGAACTTCTTAGTAATATGATTTTTTCATCACTAGTCACTACAAATAATTGCAATTGAACAGTATTTTTAAATTACTATAAGATTTATTTACCGTAAAATACTTAATAAAATTATCATTTTCGGTGCTACAACTTCTTTTATTTTTCAAATGAGAATCTCCAACCATTAATATACAATTTAAATTTCTTGAAAATTTATCACGCTTGAAGCTGGAATCTGGAATGAGTATATAGTTTAAGGGATATTAATTTATATGGCGTTCATAAATCTGAGATTTGGGTCGTTTTATTTTACGTTACAATGATGAGGGCCAAAATAAACATCAAAAGATTTTTAAAATTTTTGGATAATACGCCCACCAGTGACGTATTTCGGTATTTTTCACCTTAGTAGAAAAAACATTCCCMTCCAAAACAAATTTCTTCAGAAATATATTTATAAACAATCAGTTACATCAATGCATTCTTCGTTTTACTAGAGTTTAAAAGGCATATTAGGGGTATTAATTATATAAATTGTACAAAATGTATAAAAATACAATATTGTAGGTTAAGTTAGACATTGTGGTTTTTTAAAAAATGATTATTTATCAAAATGTTCTCCAAAATTTACCACCCCTTAAATTGTCCAGCTCGAGGGAAAGCTCCCTCCACCCTCCCCTCCCCACAAAAAAAATATACTTTACTGTACCCTATGTTACACATCGAATTTTATTTATGAAAATAAGAATACCTTTTGAGTACCTACTAAAAGTGAATWTTTTTTAAAAGTAGTTAWATAGGTAAAATATTATCACAATAATACAAGTCAAAATAATTATCATTAGGTATAAGGATATGGAAACACGTGATAGCATAAATGATTTACAAGGAATTATTTCTAACTTTTAAGTTCATATTTTCWTGRAAATTTGTTATAGATACTAAGATACGTGATATTATATGTAAAATATTCCAGATTCTTTTGAAAATGTTGATATATCTACCTTTTAATCTCAAAATCAATATTTTTTATTTACAAGCCACAAGGTATTTGCTTTTTCACCAATTAATTATGGAATAAAAGTTACTTCATATACAATCATTATTTAATTATAGAATGCTATTAGTCAATTACAGTATATAGTATAAGCATAATACATAATTATTATTAATTGTGAACTTTAAAAAAAAAAAAATTAATCACCTTTACAAAATTATAATATGTATTTTCTGAAGCTAAACGAGCTTCAATTATATTATGTTTAGGATTTTATAGGCGGAACTTTTCTATGACTGTCATATATAACATTTCTAATTTTATTCATATCGTCATTGGTGAAGAAGTTAGGTATCTATGAAAAAACTATTTTATATTAACTGTTTTAGTATTTTTTTTTTTTTGGATTAGTATATATGGATATAATCTATAGCTTTATGTTTACACGATGTAAATATAATTTGTTTATTTATTTYATTTTAACTTGATGGTTTGCTATCGTGTATTTGAATGGAATCTAATTATCTAATGCACTCGTTACTGTTTCATCAATATATTATTTTTATTTTTATTAAACAATTATTATGTTTAATACAGCACCAACGAATAGAGCTAGTTGCAATATTTCCCGAACCAAATTTATACTCGTAGTTCTTGAAAGCAATAATTATTTTTCCTCTTTTACTGACTACAATTATGGCCTTTTCAAGTAGTATATTTGTTGTAAAGTATCGGTATGTAATTTATCTCGAATTTTATTATATCCATACATTTAGCGGTAATTTAAAAATTCTCAAGAACTGAATTGTTAAAGGAAAAAAATAAGATATTGAGCATAAATACATGGTTGGTTATAGGATAACTTATCCTATTTGACACAATGAAAGRCGATCTCTTCAACTTTTTTCAAAGAAACACAAGAAAAAACCTTCATATTAACCAAAAAAGATAATTATTATTTGATACAACACTGTCCGAATAGGTACTATTATGCAAATAGAATTTGGTATACTTGGTATAGGCCCCTGATTAATGTCTATATTATATAATAACATGTTACTATGTTAGTATGTGTTATTTATAGGTGTCGTACGTGTTTATATATAAGGTATCTATACTTGTGCGCTTGATAATTCGATTTATACATTATTATTTTATCTGGCACTCGAGAAAAAAAACGCATGCTTACACGATAACTCGCTCCGCAGCGTTAGGGCGTGTTTCCTGTGAATCATAATGTTTTAAAGTTATAATAATATAGGTATCTATCACTATTATATTATGTAATATGTACCTAAAAAGTAACGAAGTCTTATATTTTATGAATGACGCGTCGTTTAATAATGATTTGCCAACAACACAGCAGGTATATATAAATTAGTACCTAATATATTATAGTGTGTACTTTTGTTGTTACCGTGCGTGGTAACCGATATCTGGTGGATTGCAGTGGTCGGGTTACCGGATGCCGGGTGGCGTGGAGGAACGCTCGCGCGGTACGGCTGCGGCGGCGGCGACCGCGATGAAGACGACGATTATTACCACCTGATGACCGCTGCCGACGATGCGCAAGCGCACTTGTTTGTTCTCGTACAGGTGCCGCCGCCGGCCGAATATACATCGTGTGTGTGTGTGTGTTTGTGTATGTGTGTATGTGTGTATGTGTGTATGTGTGTATGTGTGTATGTTGTGTTGTGTGTGTGTGTGTGTGTGTCGCTACTGCCGCCGCCACTGCTCTCGTGTCTGCCGGCGCGCGCGTCGTCAACGGTCAAACGTCCTTGCCGCGCTCCAGTTCGTCCGCGACACGACGTGCGCGTAGTCTGCCGTCTTCTACGCATGTCCGTCGCGCTCGTGTTTTTTTTTTTGTTGTTTTCTGATATTTTTGTCTCAATTATAATAACAAAATCCTATAACGTTTTTTTTTCATTTCGTTTTTCTTTTTTTTCCCTTGCTATTGATGGAAAACGGTGATTATATTGCTATCACAACGATACATAATATTATCTTTATCACAGTACATTTATCATCTTTTTTCACGTCGATATCGAAACGGGAAAATCGTTTTGACGACGTTTATTAATTCTCATCATAACATTGTGATCGGTCCGAATTCGGTTTCTAGTGTTTCTCTTTCTATAGAGTGATTACTTAATACTTCCACACGTCTGAAGAAGATAACGCGCGTTTTTTAGCAATAAAATAAAATATTAACAGTTTTTTTTTTCAAAAATAAAAGTGTTCTTGTTTTTATCAAGTGTACCAAGGATTATCATGCCGGTGATAACATGATGCGGGATTTGGACGCATCCAGCCCAGTCGTTTGGCCTCCATGGTGTTATTCAGGTAATAATATAATTCAATATAATATATTTGTATTACAATAACAATAATATGATTATCGCGTTGCTTCTCGTAATAATTGCTCTAATTCATTGGACCTGGCGTTTTGTCTGCATACGGTGTGTTTGTCAAATGGTCTAAGCGATACAATCATACAGTCAAAATATTATTAATGGCGAGTAAATGCCGCACTTTGGCTTAATATTGAGTAATTAAATTGTTCGCTATAATATCAGTAGTGCAATAATTATATTACACTTAATAAAGTACCTGACAAGCCCTACGACCGAACTATTAAAAAAAATCTGCCAAGTAGTAGTAAATATTTTACAACTGCGTGTTTTGAATAAAGTTATTTATTGCCACCGGTATTAAAGGTAACCGTATAACCGTTTTAAATTTAATGCAAGTCGTAGAAGGTCGAAAAAAATCGCTTATATACATATATACATTTATCGTACAAATAATTATAGTTATTGTGGCCATCAAAATACCTATATTTGAATKGACAATTGTACAATGAAAGTCTGTAAAGTAGTAGACGATATAAATCTAAATTTTACAACAGGTTTTTTCATTTGGAATACCTAATTAAACTTTGATAAGGCACTCGAGYGTTTCAAAAACCAACATTTGTTATCTAAAGTCCCGGTTGTTCTATTATGAATCAGATAGGGTCATAAGTTCAATGGCCTTTTAATCCCATTAACTAGATATATAAAATGTATGTTTTCTATTTGACTAGTGTGTTCGGTTATCATTTTACACGAGGAGAGTATACCTATAGAATAGTAGCTCGACGTTATATTATTATTTAATACGTGTGTCCGTTAAACAATGGTCTGATATCGATCATAATTTTCCCAAAAGATGAAAAATTACGATTAACTGCTTGCGATATGAACCAAGTCACTAAGGTGTTGGATGGAGGGAGGGATCTTAATTATTTATTTGATTGATTATTACTATTTTGGCAATATTAAACCAGTTATATAGTTTTATAGAGATCGATATAATATTATACACTAATATCTCATATTATTATGTTGTAGATGTTGATAAAATTGACATATTTCGATTTATTTTGTTTTTCAACATTTTGTATGTGTTATATTTTGTTAATATTCTTTTAATTAGATTATATATCTATTACTTATAAGAATTTCGTATTGGCATTTGTGAGYAAAATGCTACAATGAATTATATCCGTATTGGGGTTTGTGAATTCTCAGAGGCAGTAGGTCGTGAACAGATAACTAAATCGTTTTAAATAGTTTCCTCGATAGAGAATTGCATAATTTAATTTTGACCTTTATGGTCTCCGAGAGTGTGTATGAAATAATAGGAAAAAATATATTATATCGGATAGGCGAATGCACGAGCACTCTGCAATCCTTGACCCGAAGACTTTTTAGACCATCACCCGTGTGACACATGACCCAATCGACCCGGTTCTTATCGATAATATATCCCTTACATGTGACGCAAAACTCTGAATTAGAGTAATTAATATATATTATAAACCACGATAAATGTTTAAGAAATTAAATTAGACTTATAAAGTTACATATAAAATGTGAGGTTTACACGAGCAAATTGTTAAGTTGTCATACGTGCCATATAAAACTTACATTTTAGATTCTGAGCGGAGCGAGGAATGTATTGGTTTTACAATGATGTTTATTTATTTTTTATTCTGTAAACACTTTTTCTCCTTCTAAACTTGTTCAAAAGTATCAAGTATAGCATATTTTCTGAAAGGTAATGTTCATGTTCTTGAGCAGGTACTTTAGAGAGGTAATTTTTCGATTTTCGAAACGGTACTCGAAATAAAAGCGGTTAAAGGAGAAAAAACGTACGATTTCACGATTTTATAATATTAAATAATTACGGACAACGTTTTCTACCAGAAATATTACTTCAAATAAAAAATAACAAGAGATCTTTTTGTTGTATTTTGCATTTTTGAGCTATTTATAGACATTTTAATTTTGGGAGTTTTTTGTTGTAATTCAGTGAAAAACATTCGTAAAAACTTGAAATTTGGGTTGTTTACTTATATTAGCTTTACCTAGACATGGTAAAATTTTCAAAATATTTGAATGACTTTTTTCTTTTTAAATCTAAGATTTGAAAATTTTTAATTATCTGTAATATATTCTAGACATATAAACCGTCTCCGCTAAGAATCATTTTTCGTATACTTATAATGATATAATATCATTGGATTCAAATTTAATTCCGTCAATTACAGTAACCCACTTGTAACCTACTATACAGCAGAGCGACATCCACGACTTACCCGCTTTTTAAGCTTTTTTCAATTATTATTATTTTATTACTTTATTTTAAATATTTTAAATTACTTATTAAACATAAACTATAATATTAAATAAATAATATGTGTATAATATATAATATGTATAAACTTTATATACTATAAAGTAATAAATATATGTAACGGTGTAATAATCGGAGTAGGTACCTACCATATAGTATATTAATTATATATTCTTTTTTATTATATATTTATTTTGATTAAAAGATGGAATACATAATATTTGATTAATAATAATCAACAAAAATATTTTTGTGTGATTTAAAGTAACCATATTAAAATATTTGTTGTATTAATAACGTCTTAATTGCTATTGTGTTATATATAAATGTATGTGTTGAATTTTGTTRGTAAATATATAGGTATATAGGTCTTTGAATATTATTATAAGACCTCTGTTTAGACCATAGACATAATATAAACATTATCATTTTCTAAAGATTATTGTCCCAAAATTGATCTCACTGTGTTCAGTCCATATCTTTATTTTTTATATGCTGTTGGTAAAAACGGTTCGTCCATAATTCGATGACAACATTCTCTAACAGATAATTTGTTACTCAATAAATGTTTTGAATGTGAAGTGCTGTATAGAATAATAATGAATCGTGATCGGTGACAAAATCTAATTCATGTCTGACCATTTCTGGAAACAATAATGATATTCCTATCTAAGAATGGCATTGCTTGTCAATGAGTAGCATATGGGCATTTTACATTGGTAAATTTAGATCTATAGTACCACCAATAGGTCTAATAATGACATATTAAAGCTAAGATTAATTTGGTGGTTTTTATTTTTCGATTACTTACTATAGAGATGCGTAGAAGTATTCAAAATATATTTGAATAGGTAATAATATATATAATTAGTTTTCGTTTTGCAATATTCCACAGTCACGTGAACTGCGTATAATAACGCATATTCATCGCAGTCAAGGTAACCGCCAATTGGTACGTCTCTAATTATATTCATATACCACTATACCTACACATTTTGTGGACTCGTTTTAGCCGAAATTTGTTTTTTCATCCTTTAAACAAAATATTAGTACGTTTTCGTTTATATTAGTGTGTGTATAGTATATCAGCACAACCTTAATATCACTCATGATAAATGACGATATATGTACCACTCTGTATTTCTTTGKAATGTCTTTAATTAGTTGTGTTTAGTATGATGATTTGATCTCTACCTAACCCCGAGGGAATCTAATGAGATGGTCACGGTCAAAAATAAATACACAYTTACGTGTGTACTAAAAAAATGATGTTCGCTAATAAATCAGCAGTTTAAAAAAAACACCATTGCTCTTTTTATAAATTTTGGATGGGTAAACGAGCGGAACGAGTAAAATAAATTTGAATACGGACGTTAATTTATTTCAGTGAAAGTAGTGTTGTATTTCAGAGAAGAGGGGTAATGCCGAGATTTCGTATATTTATTATAAGAAACGTGGTTTTTAGGATGTTTTCTACTATAGGACATTTCTTTAAATTAATAAAAAAAAAAAAATTGAGAAATCGATTCGAATTTTATGCTAAGAGGTTAACTTCGTAAAAATAAAAATAATAAATCATATCGTTGGTCATCTGAGATAAGCTATTTATGAAACCCTATCATTATTTAGTACAACATTACAACTGGTCTACAAGAAAAAAACCCGTCAGAAAATCAGATCGCCGGTACATAGTGGGGATTTGTAATGGAAAAAAAGAAGATAGCCTATATATTTATGGATAAAAAATATAGGTAATAATTATGAAGGAAAAAAGAATATAAAAAGAGTAGGGATTGTTTTAAGCACAGGTGAAACTATAGATTACACTTATATTATACGTAGACTATTACGAATATAAGTACTCAAACACTGCACATAACTTGACACACTACTGGCTGAACTGGTCAGCTGATAAATGGCAATAAATATTTTATCTGGTAGGATTTTATTGTATCGATTATCGGGATAGCTACTGCCGTCTTTAATTATGTACTGGATAAAATATTATCATTAAAATGCGTATTACCTATGCTATAGTATATACCGTCTCGACTACGACTCTAGCTAAGGCGGCATATCGACAATCAATTATTATATTATTTATAATTCTGGTTGGTTTATCMTGAAAACTGAAATATTACTCGTATATAGATTCGCTAAATGGTTACTATATTATGAAATTTTGAATTTTTAAAACAGAAAAAATGAGATTTTAATAACCTATACGATTTATAATTATATATTGATCCACAATGACGTAAATGTTACCACTTTCAATGAAAATTCAGTAAATATCAAAGTAATGTATTTATCATTTGTACATTTATTTTTTGTTGTTTTGGAAATCAAGTACAGTTGTAAGTGCCTAATTCATATATTTTAGTAAAAGCGTAACAAAATTAAAACAATGCGTCATTTTGGTTATATAAATAATAATTTTACTAATTTTAGTAATTGTAGTAGGAGAATTACCATTATTTCTTRAACCATAAAGTGTAAATAATATTCCATTTGATTGAATAGCGTAAAGTAATTAAAAAAATAGTGTGATGATTGAATAATATGTATATGATTGTCGAATTTTGTCTTATTAGAATATTTATGTTTTAGGAAACAAAGTTACTATTAATTTTAATAAAATTGTTGCAGTTATGATGTTTTTG